GGCCGAGGCAGGTGAATCACTTGAGGTCAGGAGTTCAAGACCAGTCTGGGCAACATGGTGAAACCCTGTCTCTATAAAAAATACAAAAATTAGCTGGGTGTGGTGGTGCACGTCTATAGTCCCAGATATTCGTGAGGCTGAGGCAGGAGAATTGCTTGAACCTGGGAGGTGGAGGTTTCATTGAGCTGAGATCGCACCACTGCGCTCCAGCCTGGGTAACTCTGTCTCAAAACAAAACAAAAACTTAGCTGTGGGAATGAAAGTATCTGAAAGGGAATTTGGAGGAAAGAGACTTTCCTTAACTGTGGGAATGAAAGTTATCTGAAAAAGAAGTTTGGACGAAAGAGACTTTATTTCAGTGAACAGTCTGCAAACCAGGGAGATGAACACTTCGGTGTAAAACAAAGGTGTGTTTCAGAGAACAATGGGAGGGTTTGGGTTTTACAGCACACATTTCCATCAGCGTTCCCAATCAGGTATATTCATACATGTGAAGGTTTAGCAAACTTGTGTAGTTCTGATTGGTCTCTAGAGCTGAGTTCTGATTGGTTGATACTACTGAGCCCTTATTGATTGATACATCTGAGACCTGATCATTGAGTTAGGTGAGCATTGATTGTGTTGGTTCAGGTGAGCTCTGAAAGTCCCAAAGTTAAATAGAGGTGTGGTTTTTTGGGAAACTCAGAGAAGCTGTGTGACCAAGTCAGCTGCTTGGCTTTATTTAAAATTTAGGCCTGGTTAGCCACTCAGGATCTGTCTTAAAGGACTGGCTTGTTCAGGTTTCACATTTGGTCACAGTTCATACTCAACTTTCCCTGCTATAAATCACTATTTTCATATCCTTTACATGTATTTATTTTTTATTCTTCTTATTTAATTTTACTTACTTAAAAAAACGTGAGCAGGGAAATCAAGTGTGTTATTATGCCAACAGATCTTCAGTGGCTTAACAGGGTTTGACCCACCTGTTATTGTACAACTTTTCCCACTGCTCTGGGATCTGTTGATAGATATTAGCTGTAGTGGTTGGTCTGGGCCTGATAAGGCATTCTCAGAGTGCACAGTAACGTATGAGTCTGCACAGGCACCAGCTTCTAGATCGGCCTTCAATTATAGCTTGTTCAGCATGGTACTGAGAAAAGTGATGGGTTCATATTAAGACCAATCAATTGGGGGGGGAAAATAACATTTAAAAGCCATCATTATTTTAAAATTAGCAGACTTCAAGAAAGTATATAAAATCCGTATTCTAATTTTTAAAAGGTAATGCCAATTTGTTAATCCATGATATTAATGTTAAATTTCCTGATTTTGAAAAGTCTACTGTGGTTATGTAGGAGAAAGTCCTTCCTCTTAGGAAAGGCATACTGAAGAGTTTAGGAGTAAAGGGACATCGTGTCTGCAACTTACAAATGGTTGAGAGAATGAAGGACAACAAATCAGAAAAAATATATAAACTATTTGTTGATCTGTGTAAAGGATATATGGAAATTCCTTGTCCTACCTATTTTTGTAACATTTCCATACATTTGAAATTACATCAGTATAAAAAGGTTTAAAAGGTAATGAGAGAATTCTCTGCTTAAAATAGTGAGATATATTTGGGAGTGATGTTTCAGTCTAGAAGATATTTTTTCCTCCCTGACTTATCATCACTGCTACGAAGAAGAGAAGAGCTGCTTCTCTGTCCATAGGCAGGGGAAAATGCCTAGAAACATTAGCATATTCTGGCATGCAATATTAAGCTTAACTTAGAAATGGAACATGAAAAAAGGATCCAGAATATGTCAACTTTCTGGCATTTCAAGGCCCAGTGAACTCTGAATGATGAAATCATGACCACCATAAACCAGTAACAAAGATTGTCCTCATTCATAGATTGCCGAGTTAGAAAGCTTAAATGAATTATTCTTTTAAGAATAATTAAGAACAGAACACAGTGCTGGTGTAACAAACCTGACAACAACAGGCCATATTCCTGAATTAAAGTTAAGTGTCAGCATGGCCAACATGGTGAAACCCTGTCTCTACTAAAAACACAAAAATTAGCCGGGTGTAGTGGCACATGCCTGTAGTCCCAACTACTTGGGAAGCTGAAGCAGGAGAATTGCTTGAACCCTGAAGGTTGAGGCTGTGGTCAGCCGAAATCATACCACTGTACTCCAGCCTGGATGACAGAGTGAGACCCCACCCTCCACCACTTTCTCCCAAGGCAAAACTTGTAGAGTAAATTTCAACCTGTGTTTGAGGCTACAAATTGAGAGAGTTTCCCCAAGTTGTCTATAATTAACTGACTTTTTCATCTTTGGAAAGATGCATGGTTAGAGTAAAATCAACAATTTTCACTTGACGTATGCGCTTCTACTTATGTATTGAGGGATATGTAACTGGTCAGGGTTAGAATTCTTTGAAAATACATGCAAATAACTAGGAAAATTACAACAAAGTCTTGAATGTTGTAGGTTAAAATCTCAGTGAAAAGCTGATTAGTGATAATTTCAAGCATTTATTGAAATAAAGATAGCTCCACATGTAAAACTATGAATCTATTGCATACAGTGTGCTATAGGAGAAATGAAAGGGAAGAACAGTGTTAATACATAGTTCCTATGATGAAGTTGCTTGGTTCTAATGGGGATGTAAGATGAACATACTCAAGGCAATAGAAGATCAAGTATGGTGTGTTGATGAGAGCACTAGTGACGGAGTTGGTGATCTCAGTTGGTCCCTGTTAACTGACCTCAACACAGCTCTCTACCCTCACTTGTCTGCAGTTCTCTTACCTGTACAATGAAGGACTGAGCTCAAGATTCTCTTCTAATGCTAAATTGTATTGTCTATAATCACATCATAAAATTCAGCTTCTCCAGTGGTAGTAACATTATTAGAAATGTGTTATATATGTGAAAAATTATTCAACGATCTAGTCTTATACAATATGAAAAATTATTTCTGAGATTTTCTAAGTGCTAGAAGGTCAATCTCCAAATATTTTAGGTAATTTTTCCTTTAGAAGATGAGAAACTCTTTGGATTTATATTTTTAGCTCACTCTGGCATTTAAGCCCTGAATCATTCTATTTGAAATCATTGTTTTATAAATGCCAAAATATGAAATATTTATAACACAGATCTATAATGATTGAATAAGCTGTTAATGTAATGCTAACACAAATAAAACAAGATGCATGTTATTACAACCCTGAAGAAAGAAAGGGAATTAAAAAATTCCATTACATTGGAAGAGTCAAAAGCTCTCCTGAGTGCCGACAATAATTACGGTAGTTACATCTTGACAATGTGAGAATTCTGGTGCTGGGGGAAGGGTGGTGTGGTATGTGGAATCCTTCCTCTCCAAAAACAAACAAACAAACAAAACCCCGAACGAAACAACAACCAAAGGAGTTAGCAAATCATACCTGAATTATGGTTACTTCTTTCTGTATATTACAGATTATAAACTTTGGTCTGCCTTTTTGCTGATTTTCACCATACAGATAGGACTGCTTTAAGAAATTCTGACCTCTGAAAATCCCCACTATGCAACACATCAATTCTGGAATGATCATTTCCTTGGCAAAGTTACTTTACACAGCCATAGAAGTAGCCATAGGGTACTTAGGTGTAAAGCAACCTTCCTTGGCAAGGTTGCATTAAACAGCCATAGAGGTAGCTATATGTTACTTCTAAGCACACAGAAAGTATAATTTGATTTGCCAAGCAAATTCACTATTAAAGCTGAGAATATAGTGATCTCTTTTTGAAGATTCTCCAAATGAAGCAAACAAACAAAAAACAGATACCGAAAGAAACTCTTCAAAACTCAGAGATGATAAAATACAGAATTACTTAGTAAATTTATCATATGAAGAGTCTCAAGACAAAATTATTTTCAATGACAATACATTAGGTCTGCAATCTCTTAGACACAGTTCTGGAATATGAAAACTTGGAACACTAATTTTTTTCTCCCTACTTTATTTGACAGCAAAACTTGAGCTGACCTGAACAAATTTGGTAGGAAACCTGATTTAAAATGATGTCTTTTTATAGTCTTATTTACTACATGTACTGTGAATACTGGTGATTTTCTCTACAGAAATATTAATGGACTCAATTGTATAATACTATGACAGACTCTGCTCATGTGATATGTAATATGCAGCTGATGTACTGTATTATCTTTCTAAAATACAAAAATTTCTGAATTTTGAAGTATAAACGGCTACATGGGTTTCAGATATGGAATTATGGACTACAATATTTGAATTTAGTTGAGCTGACATTGAATCTTCCCATATATATGGATTTATTTTTTAAACCATAATACTGTAGGTTTGTGTTTATTTACAGCTATTCCTTCCTTTGTCTCTTTCACCTTCCTGAAGAGTTGACTATAAAGTGAATATTTCAGTGTGAATCATATTTTCCCATGGATTACTGTAGATGCCCAAAGATACTGAAAACCCACAGATACTACTAACAGAATACCTATGACTATAAATGAAACAGTTTGGTTTTATAATAAAAATAACTTAAAGTAGCATAATTATAAAATCATATAATTAAAAGGGGAAGTTAATATTTTTGTTATTATTCCAAAGTGAAGATATACATTTGGAATGTAAAGTGGTTTGTAGCTTACAACAGAAAACAGTGTAGATAAAATACTTTCTTTTGACCCTGCTGCAAACTTTCTGAGTGCCCTTAACCAGGCTATTTTTTTCTGTTTGTAATGATAGATTATATCTAATCTCTTTCCAGATTTAAATCTTATAGATTTATAATCTGTTTTCCCACAGTTCAATTTAAAAAGCTTATTATGTCCTGGTTAACTAAAAAATAAAATTCTAATATTGTCTAGGATTTTAGAAAAGCCATTTTTTTTTCCTTTGGGGTCTTTCTTTTAAAATTTTTTAATTGAATTTAATTTTATGATAAGTTCTGGTATACATGTGCAGGATGTGCAGGTTTGTTAGACAGGTAAACATGTCTAACATATGTGCCATGGTGGTTTGCTGCACCTCTCAACCCATCACCTGGGTATTAACCCCAACATACATGCGCTATTTATCCTGATGCTGCCCCTTCCCCAATTCCTCCCCGCCAACAGGCACCAGTGTGTGTTGTTCCCCTCTCGTGTCCATGTGTTCTCATTGCTCAGCTCCCACTAATAAGTGAGAACAAAGGGTGGTTGGTTTTCTGTTCCTGGGTTAGTTTGCTGAGGATAATGGCTTCAAACTCCATCCATGTCCCTACAGTGTAACTGGGTGTTTTCTCCCATGTCGGTTATTGTTGTGAGTTCTCGGCCTCCAACCTCTTAAGGAATAAGCGGTGGGGCCACTGCAGGTGGACCGTAGGCTCGTCAAGTGAATATCGGACCCAAAACAGTGTTGCAGAAACGTGATTTTATTTAGCTAGAGAAAAGACAAGGAAAGGAGAAGAGAAAGGCTTCCACGAAGAGTGTGGAAGGGGATTCCAGAGGGAAAATCCCGGAGGGAGCTCCCACCATGTGGGAGGGGATTCCAGAAAGCTGGAAATCCGGCGTAGGTGAAGGAGCAGGGACTTTTATCCCGGGAGAAACCCCCACCTTCTCCAAGACCCTGGGCCATGAAAGGAATTCCTTAGAACTTCTGCTGGAGTGATTGACTTTTAGTTTCTTCTGGGCGCCCGGGAAATTCAAACATAAACTGTTGAATCACCGGGATGGAGAGAGATGGGAGGGGGGCATGGCGCCGGGGAAATTCTTGCCCTTAAAGCTACGCCCCCTCATGGATCCGGAAAGAGAACACATTCCCTCAAAGGAACACAATCTTGTTCCTTTCTATGGCGGCATGGTATTCCATGGATACTTTTACACTGTTGGTGGGAGTGTAAATTAGTTCAAACATTGTGGAATAGCGTGGTGATGCCTCAAAGAATAGAAAAGTCAAATCTTTTTTATCATGACCATGAAAATGAGATGTGTTACCCATGGAAGTGCTGAATGAGTATTCTATAAGGCTCATAAGAGATTTTTCCAGGGCACAGAGCTCAAAATGCTGGAATGGCGGGGACAGGAAGAAACACAGGCAGTGTGGTGGAAGGGCTGGCAAAAGGTAGGTCAATGGGTAAACACTGAATAAGGCCAATTTTGTTCTTTCTTGTAGGGCCTCCAACCATAAAAAGGAAAATTGAAGAAAAGTGAAATAGATGGGTGTTAAGGGAATAGGAAAGGGATGAATCTTTTCTTGAAATAGGTAGAAAACAAACACATATATAGTTATTTTTTTCAGAGCCATTAGAAGCACAGTAGAACAAAGCCTGAGAGGTTTCAATACTTGGGAAACGTGCTAGGAGATTCTCAAGATATAATACAGTAGAGACTTGACTAGTCTAAGGCAAGCTAAAGAAGATGTGAAGTCAATTAAATTATTTAAGGCTGCAATCAGAGCAGAAGAGATTCAGCAGCAATTGAGAGCAATGAAAGAATCGTTTCTATATTTCTTGAAACCATTTTCTTTTTTTTTTCCCCCATTTATTTATCTTATTGCATATTAGGTTTTGGGGTACATGTGAAGAACATGCAAGATTGTTGCATAGGTACACACGTGGCAGTGTGATTTGCTGCCTTCCTCCCCATCACCTACATCTGGCATCTCTCCCCTTGCTATCTCTCCCCAACTCCCCACCCCCCACCGTCCCTCCCCTATTTCCCCCCAACTGACCCCAGTGTGCAGAGCTCCCCTCCCTGTGTCCATGTGTTCTCATTGTTCAACACCCGCCTATGAATGAGAACATGCGGTGTTTGATCTGCTCTTCTGTCAGTTTGCTGAGAATGATGGTTTCCAGGTTCATCCATGTCCCTACAAAGGACACAAACTCATTGTTTTTGATGGCTGCATAATATTCCATGGTGTATATGTGCCACATTTTCCCTGTCCAGTCTATCATCGATGAGCATTTGGGTTGGTTCCAGGTCTTGGCTATTGTAAACAGTGCTGCAATGAACATTCGTGTGCACGTGTCCATATAGTAGAACGATTTATAATCCTTTGGATATATACCCAGTAATGGGATTGCTGGGTCAAATGGAATTTCTATTTCTAGGTCCCTGAGGAATCGCCACACTGTCTTCCACAATGGTTGAACTAATTTACACTCCCACCAACAGTGTAAAAGTGTTCCTATTTCTCCACATTCTCTCCAGCATCTGTTGTCTCCAGATTTTTTAATGATCACCATTCTAACTGGCGTGAAATGGTATCTCAATGTTGTTTTGATTTGCATTTCTCTGATGACCAGTGATGATGAGCATTTTTTCATATGTTTGTTGGCCTCATGTATGTCTTCTTATCTGTTCATATCCTTTGCCCACTTTTGAATGGGCTTGTTAGTTTTTTTCTTGTAAATCTGTTTTAGTTCTTTGTAAATTCTGGATATCAGCCCTTTGTCAGATGGGTAAACTGCAAAAATTTTTTCCCATTCTGTTGGTTGCCGATTCACTCTAATGACTGTTTCTTTTGCTGTGCAGAAGCTGTGGAGTTTAATTAGGTCCCATTTGTCTATTTTGGCTTTTGTTGTCAATGCTTTTGGTGTTTTGGTCATGAAGTCTTTTCCTACACCTATGTCTTGAAACCATTTTCTAAGTAGTGTATATCATCTTTTAAATCTTGCCATACTATGTAGACTGTGCTTATATGAAATGAAATATAGAAATGTACCAGCCATGTTAAAGTCAAGAAAAATATGTAAATGTAAGTTGTCACTGTTTGTGACTCAGATTGATTAGGGAGGCGGTCCGGGAAAGGCCAGAGCTAAGATTTTAATATTCTAAGTAGGCTTGTACTTTGCTCTCACATGGTTCTGTGGTCTGGAGAAAGCCCAGTCTACCTCTGCTTACCGTATAATTGGAATGGCTTTTATGCCTTTTATTGCTGCATCCCATCATATCCTAAGAATGATGTTCCCCTTCACCTTCCCAGAGCTGAGACAGCTCGAATAGGATTACTGAAACACCTTCTTAAATGATCTCTTTATCTTCTATAGACAAGAAAATCAACTATACTGGTGTGATCGTTTTATATCACAGCAAATGGCCTTTGTCCACACATCACAAGGTGGCCACAATCCTCCAGACATTGAGAATAAATTTCAGGCAGGAAGAAAGTAGGGAGGCTTTTCTGTCAAGAGTTTGTTTTTTTAACGAGAGGAGTCTTTCCAGGAGCTTTTGGTATATTTTATTGGCCAGGCTGTGTCTTATGCCCACTCCTATATGCAAAGGGGACAAGGGAAGCACAAAGAGCTACCCCCTCAAAAAACTGATTCTTGTAGTATGGAATTAAAACGAAATTCACATTAGGTAGGCACACATTATGATTGATATGTGTTGCCAAAATTTACCTCCAGGTTTTTGTTTCTCTATGCCAATATGATGATTACCATGCAGATATTTTTATGTAACCGAATTTGTCGTCTTTTTCTTTTATGGTGTTTGTATTTTACTTCATAATTAGGATGATTTTGCCAATTTTGTTTTTTTCAGTAAACTTTTTTTCTTGAGATAATTGTAGATTTATATGCAGTTGTAAGACATGATATAGAAAGATCCCATGTCCTTTATATCGTAGCATCTTGCAAGATTATAGTACAATATCACAACCAGGTATTGATATTGGTAGTCAAGATACAGAATATTTCCATCACCACAAAGACCCCTCATGTTGCCATTTTATGACCATATCACTTCACTATTGCCTTCAAGCCATCCTTAGTCCCTGGCAACCACAAATCTGGTCTCCATTTCTAAAATTTTGTCATTTCAGTAATGTCAAATAAATGGAATCATATAGTATGTAATCTTTTGAGACTGGCTTTTTTCCCCACTCAGTGTAATTCTCTAGGGATCCATTCAAGTTGCTGTGTGTATTATCAGTTTGTTCCTTTCGGTTGCTCCGTGGTATTCTATGGTATGGGTGTGGCACAGCTTGCTTAACCATTCACCCCCTGAAAGACATCTGGATTGATTCCAGGTTTCTGATACTACAAATAAAGTTGCTATAAACATTCATATGCAGGTTTTTGTGCTTTCGTTTCTCTATGATAAATGCCCAAGAGTGCGACTGTTGGTTTATATGGTAAGTGTATGTTTAATTTTTTTTTAGAAACTGCTGAACTATTTTCCAGATATTCCCACCAGGAATATATGAATGATTCAGTTTCTCTGCATCTATTTGATGTCACCATTTTTTATTTTAGTCATTTTGATAGGTACGTAGTGATATCTCACTGTGGTTTTAATTTAATTTGATGTTTATCTTATATGCTTATTAGCTTTAGAATTTTGGGGGGTAGACTTATTGGGATTTTGTACATACACAATTATGTGATATGCAAATAAAGTCACTTTTATTTGTCCATTCCATCAGTATTGCTTTCACTTACCTTTCTTGCCTTATCTGGTGGCTAGAACTTCCAGTACCATGTTGGATAAAAGTAGATATTCTTTCCTTGTTCTGGATCTTAAAGAAAAAGGGTTCGGTTTGTCCTTGCTAAGTATATATATATAGTATGAGTTGTAGGCTTTGTCAATGATCTTTATCATTAGGAAGTTTCCCCTATTCCTAATTTTCTGAGAGTTTTTATCATAAAGGGGTATTGAATTTTATCAAATGCTTTTTTCCATTAATAGATATCATGCCATTTTTATTCTTTTGCCTGTCAGTACAGTGGATTAAACAGATTGGTTTTTAAATACTGAGCAAGCCTTACATCTCTGGAATTAACCCACTTGCTCATGATCTACAACTCTTTTTACATATTGCTGAATTCTGTTTCATAATATTTTATTATGAATTTTTGTGTCTATATTCTTGAGGTATAGTGGTCTGTAGTTTCCGTTGTTTACACTGCCTGGTTTTGATATCAAGGTAAACTAGTTCATAAAACACATTGGAAAGTGCTTCCTCCTCTTCTATTTTCTAAAGTAGATTGTATAGAAACTTTCTTAGCTCTTTAAATGTTAGATAGAATTTTCAGTGAAACCACCTGGGCCTGGAGATTTCTTTTTGGGGGTTTTAAAATTTTGAATTCAATTTCCTTATTATGATAGAACTATTCAAATTACGTATTTCATATTGGATACGTCATGGAAGTTTGTGCTTTCCCAAGAATTTATTCATTTTCTTTAAGTTCTCAAATTTATGTGTGTAAAGTTGTTCATAGTATTCTCTTACCTTTTTATGTCTCCAGGGTTTAGTGCTTTCTTCTGTTTCGTTTCTGACATTGGTAATTTGTGTCTTCTCTTTTTTTTAATTGTCAGTTTTGCTGGTGTTTTCTCAATTTTATTATTCTTTTCAAATAATTAGCTTTTTGTTTGATTGATTTTCCCCATTACTTTTCTGTTTTCAATTTCATTGATTTCTACACTTAACTTTATTATTTTTCTTTTGAGTTCATCTTGATCTTCTTTTCTAGATTCTTTAGGTGGGGGGTTAGATTATTGCTTTGAGACTCTTGCTCTTTTTAATGCTGCAATTTAGTGCTATGAATATCTCTTTCAGCATTGTTTTAGCTCTGTCCAGTGAATTTTGGTATGTTACATTTTTATTTTCATTCAGTCACGTGCATTGAAAAATTTTCTCCTAAGATGTCCTGTTTAAACTATGTCAATTATATTTTTTCAAGTGGTTTTGGTGTTTTCCCAAGGCTATACAACCATCACCACTAATTCTAGAACGTTTTCATCAGCCCCAAAGAAACCATGTACCCAATAGCAGTCACTGTGCCTTCCTCCCTTCTTCCAGTCCCTGGCAACCACTGATCTATTCTCTGTCTCTACGATTTGCCTATTCTGGATGTTTCATATAAATAGAATCATACAAATGTGGCCTTTTGTGTCTGACTCCTTTGACTTAGCATAGGGTTTTCAAGGTTCATCCATATTGTAGCATACATCAGTACTTTGCAGTTCTTCATGACTGAATAATATCATTGTGTGGATATAACACATTTTGTTTATGCATTTGTCAGTTGATGGACATTAGAGTTGTTTCCACTTTTTGCCTGTTATGAATAATGTTGCTATAAACATTTACATACATGAATGTTTTTGTGTGAACTTATATTTTCAGTTTCCTTGGCTATATTCCTAAGAGTGAAATTGTTGGGTCACCTAGCTATGTTTACCTTTTTGAGGAACTAACAAATTGCATTCCAAAACAGCTGCCACTACATTCTGTTTTAAATATGTATTATTGTATATTTTCTTCATGGACTTTGAAAAATGTATTTTTATTTTCACTTCATTTTTAAATGTATTTAAATCTTATGTTTATCTGAACTTTGTTTTGAAATTAGAGATGAGGTAGGAAAAGAAGTCATATTTTTCTCTGAAGGGGCTCTTTTTCATCTGAGCACCATCTTTTTATTACTAGTTTAAAATGTCACCTTTACATATACTAAATTTCCATAGGTAATTAGACCTATTTTTGACCTTTTCTTTATTAGTATGAATTTTTATTTATGAACCAATACTACACTGTTTTCATTGTTTTAGTTTTCTTGTATAATTTCTGGCAGGACTAGTTCTCCCTCATTATCTGCTTTTTCAAAAAGGTTTCCAACTCATCTTGCTTGTTTATCCACTCTTACCGATGTCGTTTATTTGCCGCTAGTGGTCCTTGGGGAGATTCACTTCTATCTCTCAAAAAACAGATAAGAAAAAATTTAGAGTGAAGGGAGATGATGTTACTTGCTTTGCTCTAGAATTTATGGAATATGATGTTAATTTAAATCCTGGCTCTTTTAGCCTGAGATCTTTCTTGATTGTTGCCTCATCAACTTACCATTGAGCTGGTAGGTATCTGGGTAAAGGCTAGTACATCTAGATTTAAACAATATATGCTACCTTTCCTCTGCTTAGAGTGTTAGGCTAATGATTTCAAATTTTACTTCTTCTCAACTCAGGTTCATGGTTTGGATGTATTAATTCAGAATTCAAATAATTATCTGTAAGTTATTAAACCAACTGTATAAAAGGAAGTGTATATAATTTACTAAATGATTCACTAAATTATAATAACAATAATTTAATAAGAGTGTTGAATACTGTTTGGCTGTTAAAAAATTACTTATATGTAGGTTACACCTGGGGTCTATGGGTGCAGTCCTTCTGCCTTCTCTTATGAATCACTGTGAAGCTGTTATTGGTTCTTGAACAGGCCAACGATTTATTTGAAGTAATTCCACTTTGCAAAGAAACTGTGACAATCGTACGTTGCCAAGATGAAATGGAAGAGAGGTTGGACACCTGTAGGCCAGTTAAAACATGTGATACAAGCAAAACGATTTATGGCCTGGTGACGGGAGGAAGAACAGCATTGAGAAATAACACAAAAGGAAATTTGAAGGTAGAATCAAAGGAACATCATTGGATGTATTATTTTCAGCATGGGATATAGTATGTGGAGGCGTTAACAACAGTTTCTTCACAATTTGCCTCTCTTAGAAGGCCTGTTTTCATGAATGTCCCTCAGCTCTGCTCTGGCCAGTGCTCTGTTGCCCTCCGTTTGCTTTATAATGATGTTTTTTACACTGAGGTACGTTGCTACTTTCACAAAATGTCAAGTGGCCTTATGCTTGTGC